TAAATAGATCAATATTTTATTTCACATAATTACATTTACAAATTTAATATATTTAGCAAAAAACTGCAAAACATATCCAGACGACCCAACTCCACAAAGCATGTCTTATATTCTAAAACTTACATGAACATACCTACACAAATTGGATCGGAGAAAGAAATGTAGTCAATATTAGGTAAGTATATCATAAACATACTTATGTCCAAAATATTCTGTAACAATAGAAGGACAAAATAATAATCGAAAATGGTTAACACAACACTAGTGCCAACTCCAAATTCCAAACGACGCACAGGGATAGGTATTTCAAAACCGAGTTTTCGCTTTTTCCTCTTTCCTAAGGCGAACTTTTATATTAAGCCGCTTGCGGGCTTTAGTTGGTGACACAATTTTAATATAATTATCCATGGGAACTGTCTGAATATCGCAAATAAACAATAAAAAGCGGGAGCGCATGGTGCCACTGGTCGCTGAGTTTTCGTCAACTGGCGGCCATGTTGAAGAAATGCAATTACCGGATTGGCTCTCATGGACTTAGCTACGTTTGAAAAAAAATGTCTCATGGATCTATCTCTCTTAGATAAAATATTACGACTTTAACGGCTTATTTCTCAAGAACCACGCTGATTTATACACGACTGATAAAAATGTTTAAAACATTTTTTTTTTCTCTTTGATTTGACACCAAAATCTCAAAAAATCTTAGAATTGGATTTATCCGAGTTTGAAGTTAAGCGACACATTTTAAAATGCGATTGTTTGTGTTACGTTTACAGGGATCGCGCAAATCACGATGGTATAAGTTTTAACGATTGTTGTAATAGACAATAACAGTTTATGACTATATTTTACAACCATTCTAATAGGATTGGTCGACTCGGCACAGAGTATTGGGTAAGGTTTGCCATGGAAATTGAATAAACGTTATTATTATTGTCTACGATTATTGGTGGTATTTATGAATATGAACTTTGTGTTGTGTGAGTTTTAATGCTTATCTACTTAATACCGTACATAACATAACAGTTTGTATGTAAATAATATTAGTTTCCATAATTAAACTACCATGAAAAGAGCGGAGTCATACTGATATTTTGTGTAGGTACCTACTGACCAAGTCAGTTTTATTTTAGGTAAAAAGAAATTAAGGTTTTTATCAAAATGTCAGTTAGATAACTTTTTCTAAATTCGCTACATTTACCATAATCTATCAGAATTTGCTGACTGCAAGTCCAAAGTATGGCAGCTCTAGAGATACTAAAGAAAACAAAAAATAGAGCCTACGGGTTTTTCGCAAAAAATATGATGAATCTAGGTATGAAAACCATCATTATTTTTCCATGTAAATGGGAACTGTCGCTTGTTACACAACGGTAATGCAAACAAGTGTTAGTAACGTCATTATGTACCATTGTGTTTGGTTAATAAAGTGCAGTAAACAGTTAAAAGTTGTTGGGTTTATAATTTAGCTTTTTAGAGCAAAGGGATAGAGTTCACAATCGAATACAAAGAGAGATCTGGTAGTCTGAATGATGACATGATGTAAAAAAGAACAGTGATACCATTTCTTAAAATAGTTTATTTTAGAGAAAACATAAATGACACTGATAGCCATTACAAGTACAACACGTCATGTACTCTTTTGGCTCCAAAAATACATCAACGCTTTATCTCCTTACGAAAATTTCATTTTCAAATGACTTATAAAATGCGTACCTACGTTTTTTTCGGTCACCATTTCACCATTTGCAGAGGCAAATATCAGATGGTATGAGAATAGAACTCCTGCAGCAGAGACTAAATAATTTGATGATGATGATGATGATCGGTCTCCATTAAACAATAGAAGTGATACTTAGTTTTCAAACTACAGCCTTTGACGTGGGCTTCGCGGTACGTAATCTCTCTATATCTGGAGTTTGTGATAGCAATTAGTATCACAGTAAGTCATCATTTCCAGACTGTTATAAGCGTACAGAAGTTTTTACGTGGTACGGGATTCCGTTAGAAAAACTGCCTTGAAAAACTAACTGCAGGTGCTCCTGAGCCTGCCTCCACTGTGGTGAAGGTAAGTCAAGAGAAGACGGCATTAGCATGCGTTAAAATGACATTACCGCGCCACGCTCACTTGCCTCTGAAACAATATTATGAATGTTGAATAATTCCGCTGGCGACCCGAAAGTTGTCCGGAGGGGAAAGGTTCCGTATGAAAAGTTCGATTTAATACGGTTGAAATAAAAAAATCGCAAACCGGCTGAAAAATGGTCAAAAGGCCTTTTTTTGTATGGATTTTTGACGGATTCGATTTTTGATTCGATCAAAAAGTGCATTTTGTCTATGGGGACTGGTACATACTTTCAATTACGCAGCTCTCTGCTGTGTTAGCCTCATATAGAGAGACGCAGGAATGGATATGGAACACTATTAAAATATTATAAAAGTTAAAAATACTACAATAAATTGAGTTACACAATGAGACACAATATGATTATTCTTTATAATTGCCTTGATTTGTGATTGATTAGGAAACCTTAACAAAGGTAGGTACTTAGACTTACTAGTCTGAGTTGCACCACCTAACTTTAAGGGTAACTATAACGATAACCGGTGCTTTTTATATGGAGTTTGACATATTTTTGACGTTTGTCAAAGTTTAAGTAAGATAGTGCAACCCAGCCTAACATTTATCATTTTATTGTTTTCTATTTAATTTGAAAGCACCATTGAATGTCGCCCAGAAAACCCTTCGCTTTCTATTGAAAAGACCACAGAAAAAGTCATTTTTGTGTGACAGTAAAAAGTTTGCCGTTTATCCATACCTACCAAGGAACCCTAACAACACACATACACGTCCGTTGTCACAACCTACATGGACGTAATGAGGTTCTTATCTGACTAATTAAAAGTCGATTTGCCCGCTTTCTACCCGCTAATCCCGCGTGCATAATCGTGTGACACTGACAGTGACGTTACTCCATGATTGATGTTCTGTGGCCTGTCACTTAGCGTAGTTAGTCTGTTCCCCGGGTTTGCTTTTAAACTTTTTCATGTCAAACGAAAAATTATTTGGTTCTAAGGAGACCAATCGCGATAATATGACTGTAAAATAGCGACACAGGGACACCTGAAAATATGCAAATAAGGCGTATTTAAGTTGCTAATTAGACAGTGCATAAGGTAAAAAAGGTATATTGAGGAAATGTAATGATTTTAATAAAATAGTAAAATTTTCTCAACTTATCTCTACTTTTATCATTGATACCGATTTAAAAGCATTATTAATCCAACCTTAATTTTTACTTAAAAAGAAAGTAATTTGTAACAACACAAGATAATATCAATAAAAATTGTTTGAAAAATAGGTCCGTTTTGAATTTTGCATCATTAATTTACTAAGAAATTTTGAGAAAAAAGAAGAAAAGCCGATCAATCGTGCTCAGAGTCCATACATTCTAATGTGTCATGAAAAAACGCCATACATTCTAGTTAGTAAAATTACATTTCGCATACATCTAAATATTATTAATGTGACGACGTAGACAGGCGTAACTAGCCTATGATTTATTCAGAGTTTATTCAACTACCTGCAACTTTGTATGGCTAACGGCTGGAATGCCTACTATGGTGCCTATGGCCCACGCATTCCTTGTTACTTATCCCTATTATGTAGATTGCACTTTTTACCATAGATTCATAGATTCTGTTTTTAATTGCTTATACTCGTATTCAGCTCAGTCGTCTAATACCTTGTAATCAAATCTTACAAGTTATATCCAGTCTACTTTCTGGAGTTCATTCGAAATTCAACTACGTACAGTCACAGAATAAGTAATAGTACAGGTACAGANTTCTAACTCGAGATTATTCTGTAACATAGTTTCAAAAGGTAATATGTGCTCGCGATTCGTTGAAGGAATCAATTTGAAAACTGACGAACCTTTTCATTCCGTGACTGTACTTACAAAACCGATTTTTTTCTGTCATTAAATTTATTAATCGTTATCATAATATCTAATCATTTAGTCTCCACTAGGTCTAGAGAAACTAAAAAAAATCAGCCAACACCAATATTTAATATAAAGAAAAATCAACGATTTTTTGACGCAGACAGAATGTACACGTCGCAATAGCATAGAAAAGTATGCATTTTGTGCAAATTCAGAGGTGGAATTGTGTAAAGCAATCGTAATCATTTGACAGTTCATAACGTACGATAAAGTCAGTTATACAAAGCGTTTGACAGAATAATCGTACGTTATGAACTGTCATATGATTACTATTATAAAGCAATAGTAATCATGGAAAAAAGCGCGGGAAACGTTAAACTCGGCGGGTGTCTTTTTTAACTTTCCGATTTTATTTATAAATTTTCGCGTAATTGTGATCAGGGAAGTAGTTTTAGTGTAAATATTTATTAGTGTGTACGTATATTTTGTGTATATAGTGTTATTTGAGCTGTTATTAGGTAAGTTTTTTCTCAATTTCTTCTCTCACCATGAACGATCCTCCTGACCCAGGGGGATCAGTTCCCCCTGTTTTTGATGAGTCTATCAGCTCTCCTGGACAGTCTTCTCCTTCAGTAGGATTTTATGTGACTGTAACAAACNTCCTTGCGATTACTTAAACCCCGGTGATAAGCTTCGATTATATCGAAAACCAATAGGGTGAGTTGCACCACCTAACTTTGACCGTAACTATGATGTTAACCGGTGTTTTTTGTATGGAGTTTGACAGATTTTAGACGTTTGTCAAAGTTAAACTAAGATGGTGCAACCCACCCTAAGGCTGTTTTGACAAATCCGTATCGCGAAAAGCGCGGGAAACGTTAAACTCGGCGGGTGTCTTTTTTAACTTTCCGATTTTATTTACAAATTTTCGCGTAATTGTGATCAGGGAAGTAGTTTTAGTGTAAATATTTATTAGTGTGTACGTATATTTTGTGTAGATAGTGTTATTTGAGCTGTTATTTGGTAAGTTTTTTCTCAATTTCGTCTCTCACCATGAACGATCCTCCTGACCCAGGGGGATCAGTTCCCCCTGTTTTTGATGAGTCTATCAGCTCTCCTGGACAGTCTTCTCCTTCAGTAGGATTTTATGTGACGGTAACAAACGATACAGATTCCGAAAATTCATTTACTGCTCCCCCCACTCTCAAACGTAGTCACAAGAAAAGAAAACTTCATGGACAGGAAAAGAAAAAGGTTGATGGTCGTATGAGTAACCCTGATGACAAAACTACAGTAGATCCTCCTACTCCCACTCCTATTGACCAGGATTTGCCAAATTCGGGCTCTGCTCCCGTCACTATTGGACGCAAGTTCTACAATAACTCTGATACGGCTCCATACGTTGTCCACGTTCAGCGTAATCAATCGTCTCCCAGTGACGGCGTTTATTTGCATCCGGTAACTTTTGGGAACTTTCTAAAGAGACATAATTTTCACAACATTATTGATGGAAGCGTCAAGAGAATCGGACGAAACAAATGTTCAGTCTCATTTTCAGACTTCTCTCAGGCTAACTCATTTATGAGTCATCCTAAACTGGACTCTAATGATTTCAAGGCTTTTATCCCTACATTCAACGTCACTAGAATGGGACTTGTTCGTGGTGTTCCTGCTGAATGGTCCCCCGAAGAAGTCATAGAAAACATGTCAGTTCCAGTAGGATGTGGGAAAATAATAAAAGTGCGCAGACTGAATTTTAAATCTTTTAATAATGGTTCAGTTTCTTGGAAACCCTCTCAATCAGTTGTTGTAACATTTGACGGACAAACCTTACCAAAAAGAGTATTTATTTGCTACAATGCTTTACCAGTTGAATTGTATATCTTTCCTACAGTACAATGTTTTAATTGTTGCCGATTTGGTCATACAAAGGCCCAATGTAGGTCCCAGCCTCGCTGTTTTAAGTGTGGGCAGGCCCACATGGGAGATTCGTGCTCTGTTTATGAAGACCAAGCTTCCTGTTGTCTTTGCTCCGGTTTCCACTTTGCAACTAGCAAGTCATGCCCAGAATTCATCCGTCAGAAAAAAATTAAGTCTTATATGGCTGAAAATTCCATCTCATATGCAGAGGCTTCCAAGATTCACCCTCCAGCCTCAAAGTCCTATGCAGACGTATTGTCCTCTAACCCTGAAAAACAAAGCTCTTTTAGTAAAAATATTCCTTATTATAACCCTAATTCTGGTCCTCCAAAAGCATCATCTTACAAAAAGACAGTCTTCATGACACNACTGGACTAGGATAGATTTCAGTGCGATCCGGTTAGCACATTAGTATTGGCCTGAGGAACAAAATGTACTATGGGTTAATTCTGGGCAGCACTTGGTCCAGCCCCTGACACCATCCTTTTATACATTGCCTAGACGCCCCAGGCATTCTATACATTACCTAAGTAGTTAAGTATTTAGTTAATACCTGAATTATACACATTGCCGGTAACTTATCCAAAATCAAATTATCAAATAATACTTATTTATTATTAGGCCGTGGTTAGTTCTTAACATTTTTTTTAGTTTAATTACTTAATTCACTTCCTTATGTGTGTTTGTGTTGTTGGTTGTCCTAATAAATAAAATAAAATAGTTATTGAAATCTAAATGACAACTGAATCTCCGACACCCTTAGATTGACACACTCTGAGCTCTGCAAAAATCAGTCTGATGATATTGACCAAGAGGTCAATATTATTCCAGTCAGTCAGGCAGGGCGTTAGTCAAACCGACTTTTGACTGCAAAAAATCAGTCAAAAGTGCTTTCGCCTGATCTAAAATTTTACCAATCAGTCCAAACTTCATACAAAGTAATTACTAAAGCGCTTGGTCAATATCACTTTTGAGTGAAAAATCTGTATAAAGTGATATTGAGTGTTCAAAACCACTTTTGACTGATTTTTGCAGTCAAAAGTGATGTTGACCGATTATGAGTTTTGACTGTAACACATACTTACAAGTGGGAAACTTCCAGCCTGACCAACTTCATTATAAAGAATCCACCACTAATAATCATTAAACTTAGATATTCTGGTTCTCAAATACCTTTGTACAGTCGACAGCACATCGAGCTATAAATTTCCGTTGCAAAGTCGCCCCTATCGCAACTACGTAAGATACCACAGTGTTTACGTTGACGTGATGTCGACTGTATCTAGTTTAGCTGCATGAAGGATGATTTTGGGTTAAAATTACGACAGTGTGTTTGATTTGGTTACTACGAGAGAATTGGATAATACCTGCCTGGTGCACTATGCACTATACTAACTTAATATAAATAGTGGGTATTTTTTATTTCTCTGTCATATGCTTTATGTTCATGTTCTACCATGATTATAAGATACGAGTAGGTAGGTACCTACCTACTAGCGGGCGCCCGCGTCTTCGTATGCGAATAAGCAAAGAATAACCTAAACCCGGTAGGGGTGTCATTCTCGCTATAGTTTATTAATCGAGAAAACTGCATTAAGTACTCAATTTAAATACAAAATAATTTTCTCTGTAGTACCCTACAGGGAAAATTATTTTGCTAATGCTTACTAGCATTTAGCCATGTAGACCATAATTTTTTTTCATGACCAACGTGTATCAGATTTGGGATTTGAAAGATTGCTTTCGAAAAATGTTTGATACCTACCTCCTCCTACTACGTAGATATCTTTCTTACTCTTATATTTGTGATTTACTAAAAAGCTTTAAAATCAAAAACGTTTAGTAACTCAATGGAACTATTTATATGGACACAGCATAGAAAAATTAAATATTTCCTAAATTATTAATTAACCTAATGTATGTATAGACGTCCCGATTTAGGCGGGACGTCCCGATTTTTAAATCAAATTTAAATGTCCCGCGCGGGACAGGCTCGGTCCCGCTTTTCGGAGAGAACTCGACCGTACGTAGCGTAAGTACGTACTAAATCTGTTTTTTTTTTTACACTTTCATGTCTTTTTATTCAAATCTAACAATAATCTATACATACATATATACAACAAAATGGTAACAAATAACTACTAAACTAAACTATAACTAAATAAAAAAAGTTTTTTATTTATAAAGCTTGTATATACAAAAAATTTCATCTAAATCGCTACCTTGGGGGAAGGTGCCCAAAAGGCTGGCCACATTGCCACGCTGGATGGCAAGGCTGATGCGTTGGCCAAGGTAAAGGCCAGCCAGCCTTTGTATCGTAAGATGTCTCAACTAAGCGCTGAGATATCTTACGAAACAGTTTGTGGGCGCTTGGTCCCCACGGGCCCAGAGTTTCAACTCCAAACGGCTCAAATATGTATGTAACTTATTTATTATTATTTTTTGTTAAAATACATTTTCTATGGCTACTTTTGCTATCTATTGTCACGTAAACGTAATTTTAAGTTAAATAAAAGGATAAATATTTGAAAACCTTTGATTATTATTACGTTTTTTTATTATGTCCCGCTTCAAAAAGTACCAAAGTCCCGACTTGGCAAAAAAAAAAACTGGCAACGCTGGTATAGATTCTCTTAATTATAACATTATTTAGATATTAACATATAAAACCTAGTTATGTATTTAAATAAACTTGAACTTTTTAAATATTAATAAAACTTTAAAAACAATGAAACTTTTAATGTACAACAAACTAAAAAAATTGCCCTTTTAAAAAAATCAAGAAACTAATTTACTCACACTTCCAACAATTTTCAGCGGTACAACACGAGCGAGCCCCGCGACCGGCCATGCCTTCATCGCACCACCAGTTGACCCTTCAGAAGTTGGGCTACAGCTTCAACCGCCAGCAAGCCTTCTTCCCCTCCCCCACCCCTCTCACCTTCGCCGGCTTCCCCCATCTCGCGTACAGCAGCATTCCACACGCACCCGATTCACTCCCCCCTACCCACTTACACGGATCTTTTCTAGAAAGCCCGACATTCCAAGACTTTTCCTCCCGACAACCTGATGCCGTCGCAGAGGCTATGCCACAAATGCACCCGCTTCTCGGAACTCAAATCGGCCCGCTAACGGCTCTCAATCCGTTCAAGATGCCGCTATTCTCCACGCCACTACACTACCCGGTACCCCATCCAGGCTACTTCCACTCCAACATATTTTATCCTCCCGTTGTGACGTCGGAAAGCTCAACAATCGAAGCCCAGACTTCTAGTAGTAAGTATTATTCTACTAAGTTTCTTTTTTAGATATTTTTTATAACTTTTATCTTAGCTATTATTTTATTTCTAGATCCGTTACAAGATGGATTGAGCCCATCTAAATATTCATCACGCATAGAAAATACAAATAAACCCGATTCACAACTACAAGAACGAATTAAAGAAGATGAAGTGTCTAGTTCAGAGGAAGCGTGTAGAACAGAATGCTCCACTGACGACATCAGTAAAGCTGGTAATACTAATGATTAAGTAGTTATTTAAATAGGTTACTAACTTATGACAGCTTTTGCACGGGAAGAAGAAAGAGTGAAACTTTTAAGTATTTTCCTGCATCTATCCCAATAAAACTAAGCACTTTTAGATTAGTAATTCCATGTATGCGTTTTTGTCTTGTTGGTTGTCCTAATAAATAAAATAAATAATTGGCGATATCCATCGCAATCGCGCACGCAGACTGAACGCGTTGGTTTGGCGAACCTATACATTTAATAAAAATATTGCTCAGCGAATGAATCGACCTATAAATTAAGAAATTCTAATTCCAGCGAATTTAAACATTGAGCATAGCGAATATCTCGAATTGTGTATTGAATCGATCACTTTCTTTTAATAATCTCTTAATTCTACTTATCTTTAGATTCCAGGAACCACCCTTTACACTCTCCAAATAATTTTGAACCGCCGGTATATGTAGTGCCAAGAAATTTGGAAAAGCACAGCTCACAGGCGACAAGCTACAAAAACCGTTCGGAACATAATCCCAGAGACCGGCAGAATATAGTTCGCTTAGCAGAAAGCATGCAAAAATCATCTGAAGAAATCGATAACTTTGAAGGGAAAATGCGAAAAACAAACCTAGACTATTTGTGTTACACGTCCGACGATGTGTACGACCCAGCAGCGAAAGTGTTGGTGCTCACAATAAAATGGTTGCACGGAGTTTCGTCTTTTGTGCAAATGAAGAACACGGAACAGTTATGTTTGTTACATAATTATTGGAAAGAATTGTTCATCCTTACGGCAGCACAACATTCCTTCCGCCTTGATGAAGGTAAGACAGGAAAGGTCATAATAATGGTACAAATACTCGTATTTTGTTTACCAAAATAAGTGTAAGGTACGTAGATTTCAATACATTTTCTCCTTCCAGATATAATGGCTCTGCATGTACACTATAAACGCCAAAATACTCAAGATGATTTTAAGAAATTAACTACTCTATTAAAACGAATATCGCATTGCAAATTAGACAAATCAGAATATGACTGGCTGAAATCTGCTCTGCTCTTTCGCACAGGTAAATATTTTTCTTAAGGTTTAAGGAACATTTATTTCTTAATACATTTAAGTAATTTTTACTCAAATGCTAAATAAACAGCCATTGGGTTCATTTTACAAGAAATATGACAAATCTAAACAATGAGATAAGCATAAAAAATTAACACAAGCGCAGGTACATTTAAAAACTTATATAAACGATTGAGTAGGTATACCTACAATAAGCTATTAATAAATCATCAACAATACACTAATGAACTAATCTGTGTCCCTAATAAGTAAGTCATCAATATTAGACAGTGTGTCCGGACGTAGTGATCAAACTTTAAGGGCGTAACTCATATATAAGCATTGAGGAGTTTTAACTTCTTCATCAGCTCCTCAATATGAGATCATGAGATGATGATTTTCAGGCGCAAATACTTGAATAAGTTAAGAAAAAACATGAAAAACGATATACGTTCCGCACAGCCTGTAAGAATCCCACAACATATTACATAATTTCTTAATACATTAACATACAGACTAGCCGCGCTCTGGAACCGCTGGGAAGGGGTATCTTTGTTCAACAATAATGTTAAAACTAATAGACGTATGCCCGTTTTCACCATCAATCCCTAATTTTTAAGTGACCCCTATGTAAACAAAATTCATGTTATTTGTTACCATTGGGGTCACTTAAAAATTAGGGATTGATGGTGAAAACGGGCAGTAGACTAATAAATTTACATTCGTTTTGTAGAATAGCTCAAATAGGTACTAATAATACGAGTACAATGCAAATAAAACATACTTTAACGACCTGGTTTTTCTTCTGTTGGAAAATAACTGAAAAGAAGTGAAAAAACTCATGTTTTTTTCTACTTAAATCCATTCTTACTCCCTTAAAATGTATGAAACTTGTGTCTGTTTTCTACTTCTACCAATAGATAATTTTATTAGCTATCGCATGATATAAAATATTAATTTCCTTATTAGTGTAATGGTGCGTCCACACTGAGCGAAAGGGCTCGCGCGGCACGCTGGTCATCCTGCTCACCCTGCTCTTGAGTGAGTAGGATGTCGAGTTTGCCGTGCGAGCCCGTTCAAAAGGAAGAAGTGAATACTAAAAATTAAAAAAATAAATCCTTGCAATTTTGCGAGAAATGGGTCAAGCTCCAAGTACTTAGTAGTTTTCATCGATAAAATTGTCCATAGATTACGCCATTAAAGTTTGATCTCTACATGCTGTCCGGGCACTGTATATAACATATTGTGAACACTTATATTAGCATTTTACTTCTAGATAACGTGGATAGCCCTACCTCGCCTCAAATTGAAATGCTGCAAGAGCAAACTTTACTTCTTCTCCAAAAGCACTGCTCAGCAAAGGACGCGCGCCGCCTGGGGCGTATCATGCTACTATTGCCCAGCATATGCTCGCTGGCCAGCCAAGGGGTCCTAGAAAACTTGCTCTTCCCTTCTACCCCTGTTGAAGAAATCCACATGACGCTGTCCAGAATTTTCATGTACACTTCTCCCTAACACATTCGTTGTACCTATACAGGGTGGAAACGATAAGTGATCTCACTCGATTTTTTCTAAACTATACTAGATATCCAAAAGCTGGTTACTGTTCCTGAAAGTGCTTCACGAGCTCTATCCAACAGTACCAATAATAGGTTACAAAATAAACTGGATCTATCTGAAAATTCAATGTTCCAGGCTTCCATACATTTAGTAAAACCACATAATATTAAAAACTATACAAGATATCCAAAAACTGGTTACTGGTCCTGGAAGTGCTTCACGAGCTGTATCCAACGGTACCAGTAATAAATTATAAAATAAACTGGATCTATCCGAAAATTCGATGTTTCCAGCTTCCATACATTTAGTACTGCCACAGCCATGGTACTCGTGTCTTGGTAACATTTTAGCAAGTAAAGCCTAAAACCAATGTTTTCCATGAATAATTTTAAATAAGAATGCAATTTACGAGTTAATTTTAAGTGTTTATTATTTAAAATAATTAAAAATACACTTCTAATATTGTGCGGTTGGCATAGTGGCATACATTTAGTATGGAGGCTGAAAACATTGAATTTACGGAGAGATCCAGTTAATTCTGTAACCTATTACTGATATCGTTTAAAAGAGCTCGTGAAGCACTTTCAGGATCAGTAATCAGTTTATCGATATCTTGTATAGTTTAGAAATAATCGAGTGAGATCACTTATCGTTTCCACCCTGTATATCACTTATTGCTTTAGCAGGCCTTTACTATTTATTTGTTAATTTTTAATCCGAAATAATAAAACGGTTATATTATCTGTGGTAATAGATAGTTAATTAAACTTTTCTTTCCATTTTCGTCACATAAAAAAAGTAAAGCATTGGAGGAAAAATTAGATAGGGTGGGTGTACCAGTAGATAACAAACCGAATAAGTAAGCGACATTTTAAAATTAATTTTGATATCATTGCAAAAAATGAATTAACTACTCCTTGTCTATCATAGAATCAAGTAGCTTATTCCAATTTTCTTAATAACTGTAAGGTTTATTTTTATTCAACAATCAATATGGAAAGTCGCAATGTGCCTAAGGTTGACCAGATCGTACCAAGTCGTGTTAGTCGCTTTTATTTATGACTAATGATTGGTAGAAGTACGGCAGTGCTACCAAACTTAACAAAAGTGGCGGGAAATTCGACAGATTGTTAATATTTTGATGTGAAATTAGAAATGGTGTACTACTGGTTCCTGGTGTGGGACTGGTGCACCCACCCTACTTACCTTTCTGAATACAATTCAAAAATCAAACAATAGTACCTACTTGGATATTTCATCTGGTCAACTATGTTGTGTTGTGCAGCACAACACAGTTGACTATATTAATAAACTTCTTAACACAACTTGCGCTCTATGTAGTTTAGGTCAATAGCATGGAAGTATCAAATACCTAACATAAAGTAATTAAATTCATAATTTCTAAAGCCGCACTTGTTCGTACTTCGATTACTTAAAATAACTGTGCCACTCGTAATGTGGTAAATTCGTAGTCATAGAAAAATTACTTAGCATAGACATACCTACAACTGGATATTGGGTGCAATTGTAATCTCTAAAAAATACCAATTACAATGTACAGAAATGTCTATTAACCTAATAAATTTTGCAAGCGACTAATCCGTGATTTTCCTATAATACAAACCGTTTTTGTATTTAAAAAGAAAAATTCTTTAAAAAAACCCTTGCCCTAAAAATTACAAACAACAAAACCTCGGGTGTAGACACTTGTAAACAGCTACCATGTAAAAACACCTTTATGTTATTTTACCTGTACTAAAGTGATGCTTTATCATACTTGTAGGTAGAATTAATTATTGAAATAAATAAATGCAATTACAATTACTTACTTTAGTAATGTCATGGAACTTGCTCAAATTCATAGAAAATAATTCTTTCTAATCTACAGTATGACGATTGATGTCTTAATTTATTTCACAAATCAACTGTAAATTATGTAATTTAATAAATAATTAGTGAAAGTGTGTGCCTCGTATAATTTATGTTTTAAAATGTAGGTATGCCAAGTCAACTCAGCCTAACCCACTATCCAAATTTATATCAAACTATCTAGGTATGATCAAGAGAGCGAAACGGCCACGATAGCCGAACGGTGAAGGGGGTGGGTGGGTATGCAAATAAATGCATTTTCGTAATGAAAAAAATGGTAATAAATCTACTAATAAATCACTACTTCAGTGGTTCTACCGGGTCAATCAAATCTCAAGACAGATTCTAAACGAGCAGATTTTTTAAAATAATGAATAGTTAAAACACACCGACGCCGCCGACGCCGCCGCCGCCGAAGTCAAAAAGTCGGTGCGGCGCCGCCGGCCAATTTTATATCGGCGCCCACTTCTAGTGCAGTATAGGAGTCTGCTCGTAATGTCTCCAATTCATTCGCGTTTTGTTCAACTCTAGTCCACACTCCAGTTACGCTCCATTTTTATACCGGTAAAGTTCGAAACGAAACAACGGATTTTTTAATCGGACACCTTATTTTTAGGGTTCCGTAGCCCTAAAAAGGAACCCTTATAATTTCAATATGTCTGTCTGTCCGAGGTTTTGCTTGGAAACTATTGGCACTAGGGGTAGGGAGCTGTAATTTTGTCGGCATGATTAATATACATACCGTCGGCGTCGACGGTATGTCAACGACGTATCTGCAAAATGTTAAGTTTCCAGGAGAGCGTTTTAAAGTTTTGGAACCGGTTTTTTGTGTCTACAAAAAAAACTACTTGGCTGATCGGTTTCAAATTTGGGGATGTTATAAACTTAAAGATGTTATTTTATATAAACTATGTACCCATCTCCAAAAATACTTAGTTTTTTGTAAAAATCACATGCGTCATTGTTCTATGGACAATTTGAGGATGTATGTGATAAACCGTCGTTGTTCTAGGAATTTTTTTAATCAAATATATGACGTATGTCACTTTTAGTCATTATTCTACGGAACTACTGCCATGAGTACCCGTCGGATGATGAAGAAGGTTGGAGGAAATAAATAAAAAACATTGTTTATNATCTTTGGGAAGCGAAAAAAAAAGATAAATCCAGTAGATTACTACGCCGCACAATATTTCTTTCTCTTTATGTCCATTTTTAAATAATACTTCGATCATAGAATTATAATCATATGTACTACAACACACGCCAGCGTCCTGACGAGCGCGCGCGTGACACTCGACTGATATAATACCCGCCGGCGGGGCGCTTCGCTGTAGGTAATTATCGGATGTACCGCGCGGAGTGAGCCAGGCCTGGTACAGTCAACTTCAAATAGTTCGTGACTTCCAAAGTAGCGAAAAAGTTGAAAACCAACCTTATTCCAAATTGTAACAAAGACGTGTTGCGAACTTTTTGGCTACTTTGGGTGTCACGAAATATTTTGACGCTGACTGTACACAAATAAGATAAGAAAAAGACACAATAAGTAGAGCGAAAAGCGCCCTGGATTTCTGCTTTTCAGGAGGTGTATAGTTGTTAATACTTATATACGAGGGCTGCACTAAAAGTATCGGGAATGGAATATTTCCACTGTTCCAGTCATATTAAAATCTATTTAATTGCAAACTCCAGGGTTTTAAAAANGGCTTAAACCTAACCAAAAGTTGAAAGTTAATGGCTATAATTCTATCAGGGAAGACCGGGTTGATGGATATGGTGGGGTAGCCATATTTATCAACAAGTCTGTCCCTTTTAATACAATTTCTATCCCTAACCACAGTATTGATTTGTCTATTGTAGCAATAAGTATTTATAATTTTTGTTTAGTGTCTATATACATTCCTCATCCCTGTTCTTCTATCTTATCTGAAATTGATCAAATAATATCATCTCTACCTAAACCTTTGATTATTCTAGGAGATTTCAACTGTCACCATCGAGCATGGGGCAGTTCTATTTCAAATAACTATGGTGAAATGTTACTTGACATCATTGATAATCATAACTTGTGTACATTAAATACAGGATCTCCTACTCGTTTGACCAGTCCAGGCCAAAGTCAAAGTGCTGTTGATCTGTCAATATGTTCCCCTAGCCTAGCTTCACTGTTATCTTGGCAAACACTCCCTTCATCATATGGCAGTGACCACTACCCCATTTTAATTACCTTTCCATTTAATAGTCCTTTAACTTCTAAATATGTTCCACAACTGAAACATAGACTTCCAGATAGGACCAGCAATGCGTGGAATACATTTAAAGAAGGTGTTGAGAACAATCTCCCCTCTCTTCCAATTGTTTCATCTGGTAATGAATCCACTTGCGCTACATCCTTTACCAATCTATTAGTAGATTCCGCAAATAAAGCTTTTCCTTTAAAAAAACTTAATCATAAGCTGCCCCCGCAACCATGGTGGGACAGTGATTGTACAGAGGCCATAAAAAAAAGAAAGTCTGCCGAGCGTAAATATAAAGCTAATATGACCAATGAAAATTTTTCAGAATTAAGTAAGGTAACAGAAGAATCTCGTGAACTTTTTAAAAAGAAAAAATTCGAGAGTTGGAGAAAGTTCTGCTTATCAATTTCCCCTGAAACCCCATCTTCAATAGTATGGCAAAACATTCGCCGATTTAAATCTGGCATGACAGAGTCTTCTCGCCCTTCTATCCCACTAGAAATCGCTGGTGCTTTCGTTGACAAACTAGCTCCACCATGGGTCCCTCAAAAACTGTACCTAACTTCGCCAGTCCCAGACCCTGTGTCTGCCATTGACCGGCCATTTTCACTGTTTGAACTTAAGGGAATCATACAAAACGTTTCTGATTCGTCTCCAGGTGCAGATGGTATCCCGTATTCCTTCTTTCATAACTTAGATGATCAAGTACTCTCATATTATTTGGAAATCATCAATTCAATTGCGATGACAGGTAGTGACGTCCCTCTGTCATGGAAGTTTCAAAAAGTGTTGCCAATCCCTAAACCAAATAAGTCCCCGTCAGACCCATCTTCGTATCGCCCAATAGTTCTTTCCTCAGTATTAATAAAACTAGCTGAACACTTAATTAAAAATCGACTCGAATGGTTTCTTGAATGTAATGATTTGCTTGCCGATAGTCAATTTGGTTTTAGAAAGGGAAAAAGTACCATGGATAGTATCAGTATACTCATTACAGATATCCGGCTTGCTTTTTCTGATAATCAATCGGTTGTAGCAGCTTTTCTAGATGTAAACACAGCATATGATAACGTCCTAATCCCGATATTGCTTAATAAACTTTATTCTCTAAATGTCCCTACAATGTTATGTAATTTTATTATAAATATTTTATATGAAAGGTGTCTAGATCTGTCACAAGATGACTCTACGTTCAATCGCACTTGCTGGAAAGGCCTTCCACAAGGTTCTGTCCTTAGTCCTTTGCTGTATAATGTTTACACTCATGATCTAGCATCATCAATCTCTAATAATTGCAATATAAAAATTCTCCAATATGCTGATGACTTGTTGTTGTATAATATTAATAAAAAAATAGATGAAGCTGCGACAACTTTGAAATTCTCATTATCAAATTTAAAATCTTGGCTTGATAAAAATGGTTTAAACTTAACCGCAAACAAAAGTGCCATAGTAGTTTTTTCCAGATCTAAGAACCCTCCACCTGTTCAAATTTCATATGATAATGATGTTATCCCTGTTAAACCTTTTCACAAATTTCTGGGAATAATTCTTGATTCGAAACTGACTGGACGCCAGCATTGTGAGTATATAGTAGAAAAATGTGAAAAAAGGGTAAATCTGCTTAGATGCCTATCTGGTGTATGGTGGGGAGCTCACCCTTATTCAATGAAACTTATTTACAATGCTCTCATTATTGACAAGTAGGATGTCTACCTTGGACAAAAGATTTAGCTAGATAGGTCCAACTTCGAGAAAGAGGTCAATCGACGAATCTAACTCGACTGGGCAGTATCCGGAAAACTAGACATCTTTTCGTCCAAAATCCTAAAGTGCCTAAAGACGAGAGTCTACCATCAGTGTGTGTTACCCTATTATAGGTCCAAAACGTTGGCTCTCAAAGAAGCTCAAAGTTGCACGGAGTGCTATAGCAAGGGTTATGTCAGTGTTTCTTTACGAGATCAAATCATAAATGAGGGAGGTCTGTAAACAAATTAAACTCGATGACATATCCCGACAGATTAGCATGCTGAGTGACAATAAGCAGGACACATAGTACGCAAAACTTACGGCCAATGGGGCACCAAGGTTCTGGAGTAGGCGGCATACCGAAAAACGAAGCGTGCGACATCCACCCACAAACTAAGGCGGAACGATGATCTCATAAATGTAGCAGGAAGGCACTGGATGCAAAAACTATTACCTATAAGATCTTGCATTTTTTGAATAATGTTGGGATCTGCTTGAAAGGGTAAAGGGGTTGAAGGTGTAAGTGCTACTTAGAAATGAATAAAATAAAGACGAAAAGCTTTCTAAGCATACCTATACTTACAGGGTGACGTGTTATAAGTGAACATCCTTGTAAGGGATAACAGGTTATTGTAACCAATTTATTTATGTAGGCATATTCCTAGGCAAAAGTCAAGCATTCCTCAGTAATAATAGGGACATCCTAACATGGTGTTCCGATAAAAATTGTAATATATGATTTATTTATAACAACATTCTTATACACATACCCACCTAAAATGTATATTCGTATTTCGTACTTCATGTTCATTAATATGAAAGTCATAAAAGTAAAAAAATAAATAGTATCAAGATCGTTTATTCCAATTTCCCCAGTATTGCTCTCAACAAAGCTTATTTTCCCTATTTGCCATGAGATTCTGGTACACCTATAATAATGGTGGACCAACTCAGTGCGACATTACTAATTTACAGCCGTTCTTTAATAGAAGGAGTGAACTGTATGGGGTAACCATTTAGTGTTCGTGAACCTACATGAGTGTGGGCAAGTGAAGCAAAACAGTGCATCTTCTGGTTCTCTCAAGTTGTCCATAAGGGGTCTCAGTAAAGCACCACAACTTTACTGAGACTCAAAGGGTGGGAAGGGGTATCATCTTTCATTATATCATTACTTGATCTCATTTTGTAACTCGTATCACATAGGTAAATACTTGAAAATGGCACAAATTAAGTCGACCTCGACGTGTATTGCCAACATCATCAAAAAAGTCTGAGATTGGGTCACACATGTGCACCCTCTCACCTTGCCAGGTTGCACATCAATAATGATGATCTGTGCGAGTGCGGTTATGATTCAGGCACCATCAATCATATTTTCTTTTCTTGTCCCAATTATGATCGATCTGATTTCATCCAAAAACTTACCTCTTTGCATATTCCCTTCCCGACTTCCATAATGTCTCTCCTGTTTCACAAAGATGTTCATGTATATAATTGTATAGCCTCTTTTATTTCTGTAAATAGTTTAAAGTTATGATGTTTATAAACTTGTCGGCGCCGGACACAGATGCTGCAAATTATTATTGATGATTAATAGTACCAATCTTAATATTATGTTATCTGTAGAAATCTGTGGAGCAGAAGGTTTGTGATTCCTAAACGTAACACCCGACTGATGCGCAGAAAAAGATAACTGTCAATGAGTTGTGTCATGTCAAGTGTGAGCTGCGAGGTTATCTTTGAGAGCGTGTTGAGTTTGGTGGAACGTTAAATTGTAGGAAAAGTGATTGTCAACCATCCAAATCCAAGATATTATCTCCTTGCCCGTTAACCCACGCCAATGGAGATTCCACCCCTAGAGTTCCTTCTGATAGAGATCCAGTGCCTTAAAACTTATAGTCTATCCAATATAGCTTGATTAGAATGACGGCTGTCAAACGAATGTGACTAGTGATGGGTATGTTTCATACGGTTCACATAGATGTATCGATAAGTTTTCGAAAAAATGATATAAAAAAATGCACCCAATTTTTCTTCATATCTTTATTAATAAAAATGACAATTATGATTTAAATTTAAAGACAGTAAAATTTAAAATTCATGTCAAGGGTGTACAACCTAAGTCGTAGTCATTATCATCAGTGTTCTTCAGTGGTTTTTTCCTCTCGCTAGAGGGCGGTGGGCATCTCTTCTAGAGCAACGGTGCTATGAATACCCAAAAAATTACCGGTGATTGATTTCCGATGTTTGATTGTTTAAGAATGAAATGTTTTTTGGTTTTTAATAGTGAACATTTAAAAAAACGTATAACTTGACTTAAATATGTTAAAAAATTAGNAGTTTCAAATATTAATTATTTATTTATTTAACTTCTTATTTGGTTAGTGAATTGGCTATTTCGAAGAATTTACAAGGAGATTTAAATAAGAAGATAGCAATACTACAGTTCACACTAAAAAGAGAGGTAGGGCCACAGAGAGCGAGATAGATATAAGTAGGTATTTGACTCAAGTTTTGTTCCCAACTTTGCCCTCCATTTTTATCTGTAGCTTCATGATCGCGATGTCGTTTTGACAGCTAATTTGACAGCGAAGCATAGACGTAAACAGAGAGCAGAAAGAAGGAAGAAACTAATTTAAAAAAAAAGCCAAAAAAAGTAAAAACAATCGCAAAGTCATAGACATTTTTTAACTTTTATTCGATTTTGAATGAACTTTTATGTCGCCGCGTCGTTGGTGGTTCAATGTGTATTTTTTTGGCTGCCATTTTCCGATCGAATCGAATTACTGGTGACGCGGCGACTGACATTAGTGAAAACTTCATATTGGTTTGCGATGGCATTTTGACTAGACCCACTGTGGTCTAGACAAAGTGCAAATTATAATCGCAAACCAGTCGATAAGTGGTCGAAAAGCCCATGAAGCTAAAGATAAAAATGGAGGCCACACTTGGAACAACAACTTGAGTCAAATACCTACTTATCTCTATCTCGCTCTCTGTGGGCCGACCTCTCTTTTCAGTGTGGACTGTAGTATTGCTATCTCCTTATTTAAATCTCCTAGTTAATTCTTCGAAATAGCCAATTCAGTAACCAAATCGGAAGTTAAACAATTAAATAATTGAACTACGATTACCTACTTAAATTAAAAATCACAAAATTGTCAGCCGTTTAGGCTTAATGTGTTGGCGAATCAGGGAATTACAATTCCAATTCCTGGGGAATCGGTACCATGTGGCAACATCGGCCCAATCCGGCCCATCATGGCGGTTGTTTACTATTTTGTTTATTATGCAGTTAATTTCGTTTGAGATTTTTTACAGGATATAATCATTGTTTTATCACAAGAAATGGTGCAAAATTTTGTAGTGCGTGGTTGCGGTAGTACGTGGTGTTCCGGTAGTGACTTAAGATTCCACCCGTAAGTGTTTATTTCGTGATTTCCGACATTGGATCATTGTAAACATTTTTCACATTTTTCACAGTAATTTCTTCCTAAAACGTTTTACCAGTATTAACACTTATCATTTAATGATGATACCTATGTCAAGAAATAAAGATTTTAAGATAAGAGTAGGCGCCCACCTTAAAGCTATAGATAAAAATGGAGGCCACACTCCGAATATCTACTTGAAGCACAACCTATGTATCACTATCTCGCTCTCTGTGGGCAGACTCTTTCTTTCTAAATAAACAAAAAATATAAATTTGCTCAAAGTCAATGAAACTCAATGTAAAATCTGGTAAAATCTTTATTTCTTGACATAGGTATCATTAAATGATAAGTGTAAATACTGATAAAACGTTTTAGGAAGAAATTACTGTGAAAAATGTATACAATGATCCAATGTCGGAAATCACGAAATAAACACTTACGCGTGGAATCTTAAGCCAGGACACCACGTACTACCGCAACTACGCCCTACAAAATTTTGCACCATTTCTTGTGATAAAACAATGATTATGTCCTGTACAAAATCTCAAACGAAATTAACTGCTTAATAAACAAAATAGTAAACAACCGCCATGATGGGCCGGATCGGGCCGATGTTGCCACACGGTACCGATTCCCCAGGAATTGGGATTTGGGATTGTAATTCCCTGATTCGCCAACACATTAATAGTCCAGTCATTACGTACATTCAAAAAAGAAAATGAATTTGCGCTTCAAATTTTTTAATGTGTTGTAGGGAATACCTAGAAAAGCTTAACTTAAGATTGTCGACCAAGCTTTCCTAGGAGCTTTCGCCGCCATGTTGAAAAAAGGGGTAAAATTTGTTTTTCGGCAATAACTCGGCTATCCGATGAGACTCGAAAATTTTTGTAGGACACTTTTTGTAGCTTTCTTTGTTCTCTACAATAACGTCCGAACCATTTTTAGCGTATCATGCATCGTTATCGAGATATCGATCGATAAAGTCAAAAATTTTGGACACAATTGTGTCCAAAATTTTTGACTTTATCGATCGATATCTCGATAACGATGCATGATACGCTAAAAATGGTTCGGGCGTTATTGTAGAGCACAAAGAAAGCTACAAAATGTGTCCTACAAAAATTTTCGAATCTCATCGGATAGCCGAGTTATTGCCGAAAAACAAATTTTAAGCGTTTTCCAAGATAGCGGCGAAAGCTCCTTAGAAAAGGAGAAAGCTTGGTCGACAAGCCTCCTGGAAAGCTTGGTCGACAATCTCAAGTTAAGCTTTTCTAGGTATCCCCTACAACATATTAAAAAATTAGAAGCGCAAATTCATTTTCTTTTATTTGCCTTTTTTTCGGACGAAATGACTGGACTATAAGCCTAAACGGCCGACAATTTTGTGATTTTTAATTTAACTAGGTAATCGTAGTTCAAATATTTAATTATTTATTTGATTAACTTCTGATTTGGTTAGTGAATTGGCTATTTCGAAGAATTTACTAGGAGATTTAAATAAGGAGATAGCAATACTACAATCCACACTAAAAAGAGAGGTCGGCCCACAGAGAGCGAGATAGAGATAAGTAGGTATTTGACTCAAGTTGTTGTTCCAAGTGTGGCCTCCATTTTCATCTTTAGCTTCATGGCTTCATACAACTTTTTTCACATGCTGCATCTATCCATATCTGTGGCTACAAGGGTCCTAAAAAAAAAATTGACATTAATGACATTTGAATGAATCTGGGGAGAATGAGAGAATCCAGGGTACGGAAACTTCCATACTACGATCAAACTTGCTTCCAAACAGCGACTTCAGTCGATAAATTCCAATACTTTTTTTTTTTTCTTTATGGCTCTCGCGGATTGCGTTTAGCCACGACAGGGTTCTTGATTTTTGCGTTCAGTTTTGCCATAAGTTTTGCGGACATTGCGTTTAGACAGGGTGGGATTGGGTTAAAGTTAAAAGGTAGGGAAACGAATCAATTACGGATGGAAACGGAACAAAGGATGGTTTTCATAGGATCAATTTAGGTGTGATATAATTACAAAATAATAAAAATAAAATAATATTTACATAAGTACAATATACATTACTATTAACAATTTTATATTATTATGGGTAATAAATTCGGCTAGGATATTATAAACATCAATGTTATTGGTATATAATAGGCAAGTGATGGATGTAGGAAAAGGAATTTTAATGGCTAAAAGAGAACTAATAAAAGAGGAACGATCATATAGGCAACAGTAAAAAAATATGTGATTTAAGTCTCCGACGCCAGAACCACAAATGCACGAATCATTATCAAGTACATGAATTTTAGCCAAGTGTGCTGGAGTGCACACGTGACCAAGTCGCATTCTAGTTAAAATGGTAGTAACTGTTTTGGAAAGATTCATTTTAACAAACCATGGTTTACAAAGGATGGATGGTTGAATGAGCTTGTAATGTTTCCCCTTAGATTGGCTAGTGAACTCCCAATTCTCATCCCAGGCAGATTTGAGATAAGCTTTGGGAAGGGCTGCCGTTAAGTCATGGCAATAATTTGTGTACGGATGTATATCTCCACACTCAACCGCTTCATTGGCCAGCTTATCAGCTTTATCATTTCCTGGAATATTGGTATGACTAGGAATCCACGCAAAATTAATTAAATGACTGTTAAGACTACATTTGTGAAGTAATTTCCTGCATTCTGTAATAATAGGATAATTAGTATTGTTCTTAAATGGAAATTTATGTAATGCCTGCAAAGCACTTTTAGAGTCACAAAATTTACAGTTTTGTTTAATTTCATAAGGAGAGCATACTCTAAAGCCTTAAACAGTCCAAAACATTCTCCTGTAAAGACTGATGATTCTGGAGGGAGTTTTATTTTCTGGACAATATGATATTGTTTATGGTATGCGCCAACGCCAACATGACCCGTTGGAGAGTGCTTAGATGCATCGCAATAGATATGATGCCAATCGCCCCAGTGTTCGTCTACGATCTGATTGAACTTAATGTTAGCATTGTAGTCATCCTTATGTATGTCTAGGTTGAAATGAATTGTCGGAGTAAGAATAAGGGATTCAACAGAAAATATCGGAAGAATCGCCGTGTGGTGACGGCAGAGTAGAATACATTTGTCACCAACCCCTACTCTTCCCGCGGGTGTCGTAAGAGGCGACTTAGGGACTACACAACAAACAGAGAATGGGCAGCAGCGCTCTCTGAAAAACATCAATCTTTTAAACTGCGATCTCCAACCCGCCTGCCAAGCGTGGAGATTATGGCAAATCCCTCCACCATAGTGGAGGAGGCTCATAGTCCAGCAGTGGACTGTAAAGGGCTGTTGATGATGATCGGAAGAAAGGAGGTTCTGTAGACTGGGGCTTGGATTGATATAAATTTACGAAAACTAATAATCACACAAGGAGGAGATTTACGTGACCAATAAGAGGAAGTATCAATTAAATCATTAAGTCTGTTGAGTTTGCTATATTTATGATGGTCAGCAAATTGAAGTACACGGAAAAGATACTTGTCACATAAATATTGGCGGCGTAATTTCACTGGGGGCTCAACACATTCAGCTTGCAAGGCATTAATTGGACTCGATTTCATAGCACCAGCTATAATCCTTAGCGCTTTAGATTGAATCGCATCCAATTTACTTAAACCAACTAAATTACAAGGCTCTAGATAGAAACTGCCATAGTCAAGTACACTTCTTATAATAGCATTGTATAAAAGTCTTAATGACGCTGGGTGAGCACCCCACCAGACTCCAGAAACACATCTTAAAATATTTAAAAGCTTTTCAGATTTTGCAGCAATGCTATAACAAACAATGAGGAAGCAATACTTTTTAACTACCCTAAAACGCATGTCGCTGCTCCTGTTTCCTTCATATTTTCATTTTTTTCTTAATTAAAATATATTTCAGAATATTGTTAATTACAATGTGAAAACTTTTTTTAAAATGAAATTAATTTGTTTTAATTTAAAACTGAACGGTGACATTTTTTGTTATAATTTACTTAATAGAGTAGTAGAAATTACTATTTAACATATGGCAACTTTGTTTTTCCTCCAAAATGGCCGGTGTTGTTTTTGTTAGGTTGAATGCATTCTTGTTTTCTTAGCCATCGTTTATGAGTTCTGTGGCCCTATTAAAGTATTGAAGAGTCGAGTCAAATTCAAGTTCATTCCTTCGTACCTGCTGCTGTTCTGGTTCATCGGAGTTTTGTTCGTTCCTTCGTGAATCGCGAAGAAACTTTCTGTTATGTTAACAAGTGATCTGAGTTTTCTCAAAGTGCAAATGCTTTTTTAGTGTTGTTGAAAACTTTGCGAAAAGACGCTTTTGGTGTATAATATTATGTGTGTTCATAAATAAAGTAAAATTATTAAATTGAAAAGTTTTTGTTTATTTGCATTTCCATGTGCAATGTAGAATTTTTCCAAATCCATTGTTTTGAAAATAATACAATACGTACACCTTAAAGATAAATACTTTCAAAATAATGGATTTGAAAAAATTCTACATTGTAGGTACATCAAAAAAACAATAATTCTTTGAAGGTTATGAGGGCCTATGTGTGCGTGAACTGTGTGTATGTATGCGTGGACTTTATGTATGTATGTGTGTGTGTACTATGTGTGTATGTGAGCGTTACGTACGTAGGTTAAGTACAGCGAATTTAACACCAGGCTGTCAATTAGTAGGCTCAAAAATTTGACAGAGTGGGTTCTCTATTTCCTATGTATTACTTTTCTCTATGAGAGAATCGGTTTATTTTGTTGTGTAGTGTTGTGGTAGTGTTATTTCGAAATTAAAATGCGAAGATTAACTTGTTCCAAATGTTTATTTATTTTATTTATTACATGTTTCGTTTTGATCTTTGTTTATTATTCAAATAATAGTAGTTCAAGTAGGAAAAGTGTTATTTTGAAGTCACAGTTAGTTTATACATTTTACTACATAAGATTAATTTGTTTTGTTGCCGTTGTTATTATTAATTCTGAATGTTTGTTTCAGAGTAAAGGAGGTCCAAAGTAATAAATTTGATAAAATTGTGATATCTATTGTTGTGTGTGACAGTAGATTTAATGAGTCATTAAATGTTATTAAATCTGCTCTGCTCTTTACAAAGACTCCACTGTACTTCGTTATATTTACTGATGATAATTTAAGACCAAAGTTTGATGAAATATTACACAAATGGAAAACACACACAAGAAACCAATTGGATTTTGAATTACAAAGAATATATTTCCCTGAAGCTCACAAAGAAGATTGGTTAAACTTGTTCAGTAAATGCGCAGCTCAACGCCTCTTTATTCCAGTGTGTATCATGTTTATGAATGTCCAGATGTGTGCCATATAGCCCCTTACAGGGATCAGTAAATGAACCAGTTGCCTGTGAAGGGGTGTTGTATCAACTAATCTTGAACTTACATTTCAGAAATTGCTTACTCACATAGATGCGATGATCTATGTAGACACAGATACACTTTTTTTGGGGCCTGCTGATGAGATCTGGCATTTCTTCTCTCAGTTCAATAGTTCACAGATATCTGCAATGACACTTGAAGATGATAATCCCAATATATCTTGGTATCCTCGTTTCGCAAAACATCCTTTTTATGGGAAATATGGTAAGAACTTGTATCACAATGAAAATATAAAAATTACTGCTTTAGTATGACGTCCGGATAATACAACATAATTTTATCGGTCTCTTGAGCATTGTTATAATCGGATTCTACTGCAAAATGTAATTTTATAAAATAAAGCTTCCTTTTGTGTTGCATACTAATAACAAGTTTACCTTAAATAAATATTAATACAGGGCAGATTATGTATCATCCTAGACTGCATCCCACTTAACATCAGGTGCAATTGTGGTCAAATATCTGCCTTGTTATGCATAAAAAAAATATATTTACACTACATTGATTCCTAGATCTGTCCTGATTTTAGAATATTTAAAAATTATATTTCACTGTGTTAAACAGTGAAACTGTGTATTACTATGAAACCTTACTATGAAATTACTGGAAAAATTACATAATATTTAATTTCAGGTCTAAATTCAGGATTAATGCTGATGAATTTGACCAGAATGAGAACTTTTGGTTGGGTGGATTATGTGACTCCAATTATGCTTAAATGGAAACTGTACATACCATGGGGAGATCAGGTAATGTTATAAGCTTAAAAATTTTCAGGACTAAATACTTTTAAGTTTAAACCAAACAGGAGAAAAGCTATATTCATTTTTAAAAGGATGATGGGCACAAATGTATGGAAAGTGGTACCCGCTCCAATAGCCATAACCAATATTTGGGCCATTCCATAAAAATCTGTATATTTTCGACGTCATTTTGTCCGTAACTTTTTTAAGATGCTTTTGAATACTTTATTAGTGTAAATTATTGTTTACTAATTAATTATGCTATGTCTAAAAGGGCCAGTCACTTTATGCTTTATTTTAGGAGAAATTATAATTTTCAATTTTTTCATACTACATTACTCCTATATGACTTCTAATAAAGTATAAAACTTTTAACCTTAACATTTATAGATAAGTTAATACACATAATGTAGTTGTTTTGTTATTATCACTATATAAAAAACATCATTCCCTAACTAGTAATTTAGTCCTAAGTGCCGTTTAAAGCTAGGGCCTGACGCTCTAGGGACTGACGATTTGGAGTAAAACTTAACACAAATGCAGATTAACTTTATATTATAAGATGCTTAATACGATGTGCCGAAAATAGCCAAAAAACCACACGTAAATACTATTAAATTATATACAATTTCCTATTATAATCAATAAAGCTACTCAGCTAGGGACTGACGAAGTGACTGGAATAACACATGTTTCGGTAACAACTGGCACGTTTGCACTAATTCAAAAAACGGCTACCGCAAGCCAGTATGGTCTGAGGATAACTTCGTATCGTACTTTAAAATCAACTAAATATCATTCACTCTAATTACATATTAAAGCGCAAAATTATAAAATCAGTGCGTGGCGAGGGAATGACGCTAAAAACTGTAGACTCTTTTTCAACTAAAGAAAATCAAATTATTGTTTATTGAAACCGCAAAATATTAATAGAATTTGGTGTAATATACATTTAAATAGATTATTCGTTAATTAAAACAAAGGATAAAGTTGATGTTTTTATAAATGTGGGTCCCAAAACACAAACTTTTGGAGTACGGACATGCCTAGGGAATGACGTTTTGGGTCATTCAAAAGGAATATACTTAGGTTACACAAAAAGTATATTTATCTTCGAACGCAACCAGATCTGAGGCTGGTGGCCATAGTAAATGTTGTTCGTCTTGGTAAGACCTTTCAAATGACACTACAAACATAACTATTGGAGCCGGGTACCATTCTGCAAAAAAGTATGTATATCTTCGTACACAACCAGATCTGAGGCTGGTGGTCATAGTAAAAGTTGTTCATCTTGGTAAGACCTTTCAAACGCTACTAGACACATATCTGTTGGAGCCGGGTACCATTTTGCCCATTGTCCTTTATGTTTTCTTTTCTTCATCTATTTACAACATATTGACAGAGTGGTACTTGTTTCATCACCTAATTAAAATTAAATAAATAACGTAATAATTTTTCTACTTTTTAGTGTACTTTATTGGAGTCAATTTAATATTTAAAGTCTGTTTTTTTTAATCTGTTTTTTTTTTAAGTAGAAGCTACACGGTGCGGTGCGGCGCCGCACCGAAAACATTTTGCCGCATCACTATAATTATGTTTCAGTCAAAACTCATAATCGGTCAAAACCACTTTTGACTGCAAACATCATGCAAAAGTGGTTGGTCAATATCACTTTTGACTGATTTTTCCAGTCAATGCAACAGAATCAATAGTTTCGTTTACGCTATTGGTTCCCTAAGTGGGGGGGCTCATGCCATCTGTGTACTTAAGTGTAAAAATCCTGCGCGGTTGAGAGAATGGAGAGGCTGCTCGATACGACCAATAAATATTCTTAACTGGAGAAGGGGGGCGCGGAATTTTTGTATGGTCTAAAGGTGGCGCGTCTCAAATAAGTTTGGGAACCAATGGTTTACGCACTTAATAAAGTCAGACAAGTTACTAATCAACAAACTGCTGTATTAATTTATCGTGCACTAGCTGTGCCCGCGACTTCGTCCGCGTGGAATAATGACTTTGGGTAGGCACTTTTAGTAATTTAGTCTAATTACCGCAGTATTTATTGGTAAACAATATTTTTTTATTTTCATACGGGTGCTAGAATCACCAAGCCTCCAGCATGCCACTGGCCGTGGGAGAAGCAGCTTTTCCTCAATACTACTCCCACTAAAGGGCCTCCGCTAAGACGCTTGCGGGGCGCCCGCGCGCGGATTGTTTCGAAAATGAGTTTAAACAGCGCGCAAATAGGTGTCCGCGGCATGACTGTCATGCATTACTTACTATGCATTATTAGGCGAGCGCACGCAGCGGGCACCCGCATGATAGTCTTTAACATGATTAATATTTTAATTTTCATACAAATCGGATTTCATAAATTTATTTTGTATGAAAATTTAAAAAATTAAAATGATGATATCTAATTTCTGACTTCACCATACCATTTATATGCCCATGTTAACATGGGCCAGTGTCGGCTCATATACCCATTTACGTAACACCCTGTATATGTACCTATAGACTATAATTTATAAAATTTCTAGTGTGCACATTATGAAATTATTATTTATAATATTTATTAACTGATTAATAGTGACATTTTTAATCTACTTCTTATTTACACATTTGTTAATTACTCATATCGTCACCGTCGTGGCAGAATTAAATAACTGACACTTTTGGCAAAAACCACTTTTTCCACTTTTTGTATAGTAGAAAGTGTTACCTATATTTTGATCTTACTCTCGTGGCAATATCTATGATATTTCCAAAGATATCTTCAGTTTAGTGAAACTATTGACCATAAATTACAACTCTGTTTGTTGTAGAATTTATGTGGCAAAACTGAATAAGTGACTTTATTTAATTCTGCCACAACTCACTGCGAACGTTGCTTCAAAATACTTGTACTAAGAATGTCAACAAGTGACTTTATTTAATTCTGCCACAACTCAATCCGAAACATTGCTTCAAAATACTCGTACAATTGTGTTTTTGATTTATGTCATTTTTGTAACATTACTTTAAATGTTACTTTTAATTTCAATGTTCATTACTCAGATGTTGAATCTGGATAGTTACCTTCATCATTATCATCATTTCAGCCATATAGGACGTCTACTGCCGAACATAGGTCTCCCCCAATGATTTTCAATATGACCGGCTGGTAGCGGTCTGCATCCAGTGCTTTCTTGCTACCTTTATGAAGTCCACGTTGTGCTTTCCGGTACGTGCCCTCCACTCCAGAACCTTGCTGCCCCATCGTCTGTCAGTTCTGCGTAATTATTTAACAATTTTACAGATTTTGACTAAAATTGCATTGACAAAACAAATAAAATAAAATGAATAAATCAACATTTAGGTCAATAAAAGTGTGGCAAAATTAAACAAGTGTACTTATTCAATGGAAATATTAGTTTTTGTAATACCTTGGTTGAGGCAAAACTAAATAAGTGACATACAAAAACTAAATAACTGCAACTTAGTTGTAAAATACGGTTGTGGCAAAACTAAATAATTACATTTTTATTTTTTTATTTAAAATAATACAAAGTAACATCATCGAATACTATTGAATTAATAAAGGTAAATTTGCTGTATAAAATATCAAAAGACCGACGATAAAATATTTTAACCCTTAAAAGTTATCGCCATTTTTAACGAAAAAAAACACAAAAACGTGAATATCTCGCAACTTTGGTTTTGTCAGTTATTTAATTCTGCCACGACGGTGACGATATACGCATTATGATCCTAAAACAATTAAATTATTGCTATAAATCTTGGCAAAATATGTGCTCACAATGCAATGTTACACCTTTATACCATGTATAAAAACTGTTATCATTATCATTTCCGAAGTTGTTGCTAGTAAAAAGAAATCGATTACGAAAAAATATCTGTTCGAAACTCATACCTACTCATAAAATAAAATCTACAAAATTAATAAATTAATTTATATGGGACCAAGAATTACTCAAATCGGACCAGAAATCTATCAGAATACCTAGACGACGTAATTGTCACGAACAAAGTGTTCACATGAACATGCTAAAAACAAAAATTCTCATAAAATAAAAACTACTTAACTTAATTAACTTAAATTTTCATGGGACAAAATGGCAACTATTCCGCAACGATCAAAAAAAGAATGACTGAAATCGGAACAGAAATCTCGGCGTAATCGGTATGGCCCAGGTGATCAAAGTGGACTCGCAACACACTCACAGAGCCGAATCTATCTCGCTTACGCGCGCTTGTCACCAATTCACGTCTCGTTCACACCTATTCATTCGTGATCGGCTGTACTAAAGTGAACTAAAAGACCGATTTGAACGACCAAAAAGGAATAGTTCTTTCTCGTTCACTTAAAGGAATTGCTTCCTATTAGTACATAGTACATGTACTACACAAGCCTACCGGGTACTGTATGAAAGTACCTACAACGATTGGACTTGTGACTATTCAGAGGAGGTGTGATTTATTTATAGGTGATCAAAGGAAACTAAAATAATAATTTACTTAGAGTCCAAAGTATACCAAATTGTCGCTCCACTTTCTCACCTGGGTGATCAAAGTGGAATAGACTAACAAATATAATGAATGGGTACGCTCAGAGGCGGGGCAAGACCTAAATTTGATGTGGGCAAGACAGATTTCGCGAGGCCTTGTTCTGTGGCGACCTGAAGACGGATTTTATGAAATAATAAAAAAAAGGGTCAAAGGTCTATACATTGACAGTTTCTGATTTCTTGATTCAGTGATTATTTTTAAAGGAATATTGCGCCAAAGAATAATGTTCGTCACTTAAAACCGTGTTGTTGCTTAATTTTGTGTCTGATTATGGCTGAATTTGTTTGGAAAAAAATTTATTTTTATTTTTAACTACATTGTTTAGCTATCAAGAATTTATATTTAATAGTCAATGTTTGCATTTATTGTCGTATTGTGATATTGTCATCTCCACCTTGTATACATTTTTTCAAAATTTTTGATGCGCGAGGCCCCTTGTACCGCGAGGCCGTAGGCGGTGGCCCACGTCGCCTACGCCTTACGCCGCCTCTGGGTACGCTTTGTTGTTCCAGGATATAATAAATATCATATTCCACTACCACGAGAGCGCGGTGCTGGTGCTGCCGTGCCGCTTCAACTACCGCGCCGACCAGTGCATGTACGGCGACGCGTGCGCCGGCGCGGCGGCGCGCGGCGTGCTGCTACTGCACGGCAGCCGCGGCGTCTTCCACAACCAGAAACAGCCCGCGTTTCAAGTTAGTCTACAGTCTAAAGCCCGGTCCGTGAGCACGTAGAATTTTGTCCAATGACCCCAACTACCCATCCTTATCGCTCGCGCCTAATTATATTGCTGTCGCGACTGTGCGACTGGCACACTATGAACCAAAAGCCCAATCTAGCTGGACAAAAAGGGTCATCGCATATCTTACATTCGTTTAGCATAAACGATAGCTTAATAACCATAGGTAACGATTCAGTCATTATTTTTAGCAACTATCCTCTGATAATTTAGTAATTTTAAGACGAACTTGAACAAGTGAGTATTTTACGATCAAATTATTCACTTTCTTGAGTTTGATATATCAGTGTCTCCTGATTAATTCTACAGCTAGATTGGCCTTTTGGTTCACAGTGTGGCACCCGCAGTGAGTGTGCGAGCGCGATAGCAACATAATTACGCGCGAGCGATAAGGATGGGTAGCTTGGGGTCATTGGACAAAATTCTACGTGCTCACAGACCAGACTTTACACTAAGGCGATTATCACACTGCACCGCTCCGCCACGGTACGCGGGACGACAGATTTAATCATTATATGCAAGTACCTCAGTTTGTATAGAAAACACGCGAGGCATAACACACTGACAACGCGTTTGCGCACGGGATTCGTAATATATGGTCGCCACGCGGACCGCGACGGAGCGCGGTGCAGTGTGGTAATCGCCTAATATTATAAAGAGAAAAGACTTGTTTCTTTGTTTTGAATAGGCTCCGGAACTATTGGACCGATTTGAAAAAATGTTTACAATCCTACATTATGTGTTTCTGATGAACATTGGCGGTATCACTGGGTCAGCTATTACTATTTTATGAGACTACTAGATCTCAATACCCAAGATAAAAGTTTGAGCTATCCTTTTGGTGTAATATAGCATTTTACTGAATATTATTTTACTACAATTTGGTGTTAATCTAAACAATGTATTTGTTACAGGCGATATACAAAGCGATAGACGAACATGAAGTTGGAACAGATCCATCGAATAGTTTGCTGAATAACATGGAAAAATACTTATCAGAAGCTTCACCTTCCAACTGTGGAAACTTGAAGGATGCTTTTCTAAGAATACCTATAAAGACAATAAGTGATTTATATGACGCCCCCGAAAGGTAGCCCCATGGGTGAAGTAGGAATTATTGAAGTTTACTTGAAAATATAATAATGTAAGTATTTTAATGTTACCAGTATACAAAACTTGAAAATATGGTGCTTCTAAGAATCTCCTTAAATAATTTTAAGCATAAGGATATTATTACTATTTACTATAATGTACATTTATATTTATAAGATTGTAGTTGCAAAAGAAGCAAATGAATGTGTGATGTGAATGCATGAGCGAATTCTTTGCTACTACGACAACTCATATTTCAGCATGATTATAGACATGACACCGTAATAGAAATATATTTAAATTCCTCTATAATGAACACAGGTATAAAGGAAGAAAGCTACTTGTGGATTAACGGTTTTTTTGATTGTCAGGGCTAATCTCCATCCGATAAGGGAGTCCCACAACCCGCCTCCTCACCTAGGGCGCAAAGTATTTTTCATAGGCAAAAAAAACTGTATTGATGTGGATATCGCCGCTGTTAAGTTTTTCGAGAAGTTAACAAGGGTTTTCTGTCAATGGTTTTTCTATTTCTTTTTATCTGTTGATTCGCTCTAATCTCTGCTTCTGCGTCGATGGTAGAGGCGGACACAGTCAGCTCACCGCAAGCGGAGTGCGGATCTCATTAGTGCGGATTTCACTCCGGTCAGTCCAGCGCTTAGGTGACCTGTAGGCCTAGTATGGGCGCCGCGAAAAGCGGTTATTACGCCATTTTATCGATTTTGCCTATACATGATGTCGATAAGTCTATATCACGGCGCGCATCCCAGCCCGACTGGTTCCTTCAACTTTTCCCTACGCAGCTGCTATAATTTGGGATCTAACTAATCAAATCTTTAGGAGAGATTTAGAAAATGAAATTGAACATAGGCGTAAATCCACAGGCTTTCTTCCCTTAGTAAACAACAGCTATGTGATTTTTGACTGACCATAATATACACACTAAATTAAAAAGAATTCGATTCTACTATTCATGTCACTACACCCTAATTTTTAGAATTATAGCCTGACCAGGAACATAAAAACCCTGGCATAGAGGCGCTTCAATTGCATTTGATAGTGCAACACTGGGTACAGTCGTACCTGTATTAAATTAATAGGCTAACTTTATGTATCAGGATTCAGGATTATAGGCTTATTTAATATTTTCAAAAATTGACAAAAACGTATTATATTATAGGTAAACTGGTTTAAATAAATTAAATGAAACCATCAATCGAGCAAGTACGATTTTATTATTATTCATCAATAATCAAATTCTGAACTTGAATATTCAACTACAATGTCTGCTCATGAACGCTTCAAGCTCGGTACTTCTTTCCCAATTCCATAAAATTCAATACTTACAAAGTGACAAAAAACTTTAAAATAGGTAGTTGAAACAAACCACAGCTAATTTTCATAGTTGACTGTACTATACGATAAACATGTCAGTCAATTTGACAACCTTTGTCGGAAACATTATTCAATGAAAATATGGTCCGAACCCTTAGTATTTCTCTTCGACAAATACTTTAACACATTGTGAACCACTTTTCTTTCACGACTATATAAAGATTTTAGCAATTTAATTCACAAAATCAATTGCGCGCATTTAAAATAAAGTTTGTTTACACTTTGACAGCAATAGACTGACATGCAAGGTGACATGTCAATGAAGTTTTCAGTTACTGTTGCCATTAAAAGAAATTAGTACCATTAATTTTCCGCAACATGGCGAGGGTTTTTATGTTCCTGGTCAGGCTATAATAAATTTATGATGTGTAATCTCTGGAATGATCTGTCAAGTTACGCTCAATTTCTTCTTGCTACTATTCTTGGCTACTTTCGTCTAGGATCGTATCGATCGATCTCAACGCGGAAGGTGAAATGCGCTCGTAGTAATTCTTAATATAGTAAAAGATTAAAAAAACTCCATTAATTCCTGCGCAATTGGAAATCTTTGCATTACAATAATTCGAGTAACGTAGGTAATGATTTCATTTATCGGTTTGAGAAACATAAAAATCCCATGCCAAAAAATTTTTATTAAGAAAATGGCCTTAACAGACTAATGAAATTGAATGATACCTACATAATGTAATATAACATTAGTATAAAATTTAGTGGCCATCTTTATGTATTAACATTGAATCTGTTAAAAACAAGTCAGTATTAAAATTGCTTTATTAATATATTCCCAGCCTTGTCGGCAACATTTCCGTATCCGGTATTTTATCTCAGCAAGGGCACGTCGCTAGTTTGACTACAGAAATGATATCATATGAATTATTTCTGGAAGTTATTCATATGTTACATTGGTTAATACTGTACCTACATTTTACAAAACATCATCACAAAAATCTCCAACATTTAAATTCCCAAAATAAAATTCAAACTAATGCTATGAAATATTTATCCCTACGTTAATTATTTATTTTTATTTTTATTACCGTATTATTAGGCAATACATAATTACATAGGTACTGTTATTTTTAATGGAAAATAACTGTTTATTACTACGCGAAAAAGTTTTATCTAAATATGTGTTTTTTACTTTACAATAGGCAACTTGAAAGTATTTATTTGCCTTTCGTGATCGGGTAGGCGTTGAACGCCCAGTATCTAGGTATTTTATTTAAATAAAAATATGTTTAAGAATAAATTATAAGACATTCGCGCTATGTAGATTAAGTAAGTAACAATTAAGTATTGCTATCTGCCTCATTTATTATTAGCATTTCTATTATTAAATAAATATTGTTATTTTTTTACATAATTTTCTGAGATACATATTAAATGTTTTGGAAATATTTTTTTTCTTATTCTACACTACACACCAGTTCTTAGGTTTTTAGCTTAAGGTTAAAGTATCATTTCGCATGGTATTCGTAAAAGCTACCGGGGATGCATCCACATTCCATATTTATGTAATAACCCTACCGAATAGAATGGAATATTTTAACTTGTGCAATACAAAAATTACAAAAAGTCATAGATTAATAAAGCCTTTATTATTAAGCAAAAAGTATAAAAAATGAGAATATTAGCAACTGTATTATTCTTTATTTCACAGACTGGGTTTGCATGCCTTTAAAAATATTACCATACCTTCCATTAATGGGCTAAGAAGGTATTGTTTTAATTTATTATTTATCAATGTTTACAGCGGCCGAAGTGGGTTATGTTAATGCTTATTAAATAAAATGATAAGTAGATGATACACAAATTAATAATTTATTTGAATAGGTATAAAAATTTATTAATAATGTACTTAATAATAACAATAAGAGGTCTTCTTTTTCAAAACCGGAACATGTTCCGAGAGTCCAAAAGACAAAAATGAAAACAATAATTTGTATTTAAGTCCCCTGCGTACGTATGATGCATCACGCACGAATACCTACTTTTAAGTTTTATTAGAACGAACGAAATCAATGAATTAATTTTGGTAATGTAATGGACAAACATGTTTATGTACAGGGCCGGATCGTGAATTTGTGGGGCCCTGGGCTGAAACTTCTTATGACGTTGTCACGTAAAATTATCGTCCGTAAACCGACTTTACAGACATTTTTTTTTTTCAAATTATGGCCTACTTTTTAGCGGGATCTGGGGGCCCCTTGTAACCCCGGGGCCCTGGGCTGCAGCCCAATCAGCCCATAGGTAGATCCGGCCCTGTTTATGTAAGTAAACGCTTGTTTTGTAGTAAGATAAAAACTAAATGAATATAGTTGATACGTAATTTACTCAACACCACCCATTATTGACATTGTATGCTCTCGGAAGTATCTTATATAAAATGCATAATATTAAGTTACGAACTTATGAGATCCTGACGGGTACTGTGAAACAAATTAAATCTCTTTTTCCCTTCAATTCCCAATGTACATTTGTATTTAATGTGGGATATATGGAGAGTACGGGAAACGAGTCCTTGTATACGTATTTGGTGCCGGCTTTTACAGGACAATTAGCTTTTTCTCCACTCTCCGTGAAAAGTTTATCACAAATAGAGTTTCCATCGACTCCTACAAATGGCACATCCAATCCTAACACTTTAGCTGTTACTTTATTCTGGATATCGTCGAGGTCTTCATCTGAAAAATCAAAATAAATCAACAATTAAAAATCGGCTAGTTAATTTTAAATAACTTTGTAAAGTAGGTAATAGGTAGCTTAGGCAGTGGCGGCGTAAGGCGTGGGCGACGTGGGCCACCGCCTACGGCCTCGCGGTACAAGGGGCCTCGCATCGCGCCTCAAAAAAAATGTTTTTTAATATTAATCTAATTTGTATTTTTATGAATAAAAACTTGTCAGTGTTCATTTTTTTTTATTATTACTTTTTTTATAATTCAGTTCGCCACAGAACAAGGCCTCGCGAAATCTGTCTTGCCCACATCAAATTTAGGTCTTGCCCCGCCACTGCTTAGGCACGCGACGCGATTTTTCCTAAGCCAGCACTCTAGTAAGTAGGTAAACATCTTCCTTCATACAAAAATATTCCTACCTACTGATCAATGTGAGTGTAAGTGCTGTGTGGGAGTTTCACCCTCCTCTAAGGGAGGTTAAACGGCGTCTAAGCGTACAAAATAACAACAGAATGTAGGTAACAGTATTAATCTTGTTAAATTTGCTATCGCACAAGAGAACTATCTATGCACCTATTTCCGCGGGTACCTACTTAAGCATACATTTTCAGCCGCGAAAAGCTTACAGATGGGACAGTTTTGTATAAAACAGTTAACAGTTTTGTTGTTAATAGCTAACAGTTTTCTGATTATGATTCTTACCCGGTGTGAAGTTTATCGTGATGTGTTGCTGTGTGCCTTTCTTCAGTCGACACGGCGGCTTCTTGCATGGTGACAGCTGTACGTTTTCATTGAGATTGTCAAAGGACTTTCCTTAAAATAAAAAGAAATAGGTAAATAAAATAAACAGTTTCATCATGTAATGTACAGACAACGGTATAAAGTTTAACACCGTGGCAGCAATGCACTACGGAAGTGATGCCAACGCGCTACTAAACCGCTACAGCAGCGCGACTGCATCGCTACAAAAAGTCGCCGTGTTCGAGGGCCCTAAAGGGCTTCCCAGTTTTTTGTTTCTGCAAATACTTTAGAGAGCTTCAAATGGCGTGGAATGGGTTTCCGGTCGGACCACATTCAGACGCACGCAACTCAACTTGAAACAAATCCAGTTTTTCGGAACTGTAGAGTGTAGCCAGTACCACATAACATTATACATTATTCTAGAGCGAGCATCATGCGGACATTATAAAAAGGATGCTAATGAAATATCCATAAATAAGGTGACGCGACGACCAGACTACCCTATCAAATTGATTAATATTATATAAACTAGCAGCCGCCCGCGACTTCGTACGCGTGGATCCCGTTTTACCCCCTTCATCTATCTTACGCGGTTTAGATTTTTTCATACATATGTTTTTTCCCGCTAACTCCCGTTTCCGTGGGAATTTTGCAATATCCTGTTGTAACTAAGCTTTAAGTTTACTAAGGTACCTGCATGCCAAATTTCAAGCGTCTATCTTAAAATGGCAATGCCAGATTTTGTATGGAAAGTGGCGTCTTTTTTTTTTCGCGCGGCCATCGATCAAACTTTGTTTTTTGATTACAAAATAGTGTAATAAACCAAACTTACTATGGCATTTATACCTCTAAACTCAGTCTGAACTGAGTTACGAGCATTAGAAGTTTGATGATTTTCATACTAGATTTGCTTTTTGTGCGCAAGTTTTGTAAGAAATTGCAACAAAATATTGCGATATTTTTTTATTGCGCTGATTCTGCTCCATACTGATGTCTGGAGCATTTAATGGATGGTATTGTTTGTTTACACATACAATCTCACTAGTTTGTTGCAATTTCTTACAAAACTTTTTGAAAATCATCAAACTTCTAATGCTCGTAACTCAGTTCAGA